GTTTACTAGAATAGAGTCATTAGTTTACTAGAATAAAGTCACTAGTTTACTAGAATAATACTGACTTCTTTTCTCATAATGTTATCACTTCATTCTATACACATAGTCACATTAGTCTTTAATTTAATTTTCTATATATATAATTCATCATAGGCAAAAACCAAGAATACAAATTAGATTCTAACAGATAATAGATTCTAGTATAACTCACTTTTGCCAGACTTTGACCCCTAAATGAATGCTTTTATAGTGAACAGTCAGATGATCCTGTCGCCTGAAGCACTTGCCACACTCTTCACACTGATGGGCTTTCTCACCTGCAATTAACATAAAGAAATGTCCAAAGAAAAGAAACTCATTTTGGGTAAATGAAAGAAGGAAATCCTCACATCATCCTAGCTCCTACCACATACCAGAGTGTATTTTCTTATGTTTGGTCAGGTGGTCGTGGCGTATGAAGGTTTTCCCACATTCGTCACACTCATAGCGTTTATCGTCATGATGGACTCTGAGGTGGAGCCTGTACAGTGAACATTTTGGTTCAGTACCAAAGGTCAAATCTGTGAGATGGAATCATTTCTAACTGTAACTTCAGACATCTTCTACCGCACCTGTAGGAGCTGCCGTGACGGAAACTTTGGCCGCAGATACTGCAAAGATGTGGCTTCTCCCCACTGTGGATCCTCATGTGTTCCCTCAAGGTTGTTCTGTAAGGAGGCGAGGGGTATTTTTTAAGATGCAGACTGCTCTGAAGTTAAACACAAGGAATTATGGCATATGGAAAAAGACATACCTTTCCCGAACAGATTTTCCACAAACAAAGCAGGTCCATTTTCTCTTGCCTCCATGGGTGCACTCAATGTGTCGCTTTCTGTTTCCGGTGTCATTGAACTGTCGCCCACAGATCTCACAAGGAAAAGGACCTTGAGGTGAAGAAGAAAAAGCTCAGTGATCACCAAAGTGAGCAGGAGGGCAGTTTTAAGCTGCCTGGGGAGCAGTCTGTGGGGATGGACACTTCCTGGGTGCATTGCTCACCTAAGTGATGCTTTTCATGGTGCTTTAGCCTGGCAAACCTGGACTTGAAGTGTTCATCACAGTAGGAACACTTAAAAGGCCGGTCTTGACTGTGCAGGATCATGTGCTCCTGCAGGTGAGGCCTTCGAGTGAAGGTCTTCCCACAAGCCTGGTTTAGAAAGATTACAGAATATTTCCATCATCATTTTGAAATCACTTTAATGTACAACAAGCTTTTGTACTGCGTCGGTGGTAAGGTCTGTCCATCTGCAGCAGATGCAAACTAAAATCAGTCCTTACCGCACACTTCCAGCCTTCACTTTTTTTTTTCTTCGGGGAAAAAAACTCCTGGATGTTGTCTGGATGAAACCTAATGGGACATTTAAACATCAATGTTATTATACAATCACATTACACAAAAAGGTCTTTTAAATACAGGACTGTCTCAGAAAATTAGAATATTGTGATAAAGTTCATTATTTTCTTTAATGCAATTAAAAAAACAAAAATGCCATACATCCTGGATTCATTACAAATCAACTGAAATATTGCAAGCCTTTTATTATTTTAATATTGCTGATTATGGCTTAGAGCTTGAGAAAACTCAAAAAACCTATCTCAAAAAATTAGAATTTTTCCTCAGATCAAGTAAAAAAAAAAAAAAGTATATCAGCAAAACAAAATCAAACATTTGAAAATCTCCATTAATGCAGTCAGTACTTCGTTGGGAATCCTTTTGCCTGGATTACTGCATCAATGCGGCGTGGCATGGAGGCAATCAACCTGTGGCATTGCTGAGGTGTTATGGATGCCCAGGATGCTTCAATAG